ACAGTTAATGTTACAGTGTCAATAACAAGTTCTGAAACCATAAGCTATTAAAGGGCGTTTGCAACGCTTCCGATCGTTTAAACCCAAACCTCTGTCATACAATATATCGCTGTTCATTTATGGCTAAATTATGGCTGTCGAGGGAGAGAGAGTAGTTTCTAGCTAGTACCAGTTTGTGCATCACGCCATTAAATCCTGATAGCAGTGGAATATAAACCGGTTTGAAAGCTTCCTAAAACTAATTAATCTTTCTTTCGAAATCCTAAATATGAAACATTATTGTAACTTTGTATACTCTGATGTCTGACTTGGTCCTTAGGTAACATTTCTAACGCCGAATTTTGCCAAAAGCAGACTACGTGATGCCAAATTCGGATGGAACATTATTGTACATATACGTATTTCCTAGAAATCCCAAATGAATATATATCACCTGTTGCTGTATGTCTCATAGATTTTGTGCATCTTTTGACCTAGAAAACACATGTCTCAGTGGCTCTTCAGTCTGGGGGACAGTAAATTGATCAGGAGGCCTTCCTGTATTCTAGTACTGCTTGATAACAACGTATGATGTCTAGAGCAAAACACTATTAAGGAGAAGACAGGAGAGCTAAAAAGATAATTAAATGAGATGTAACCAAGTCTTCATGGGTCAATTTATGCAGATCGATATAATATACAACATTTTGGTGAATTTCCTCGTTCTGGAAAATTAACTGCAAGTCATAGGACAACGTAGACTATTCTTTGGACTGAAATCACCATTCCATTACACAAGTTGTCAGGTAATAACTCATAAGTTGAAAGCACATACGCGACAAATATTAAAGGAAATGATAGTCTCTAGGAGCTTTGTTCACAAAACCAATATCTTTCAAAGAACGAAGAGAGCTCAAAAAAAGAGAGATTTAACTTAATGGGTGGACAAATATGAAATCTCAAACAGATTTAGTGCTGGAATCAACTATAAACATAGCAAGAACATGATAATCAGCGATGAAACATCAACAGAACTTTAGAAACAATGAGCTAACTCTTTACGGTAATAAGAACTCAAAAGTCTGCAGCAGAGTCACTCTAGCATGAAAATCTAGGTGGAATTTATTCAAGTTCACATAGAACATCAGTAATATAAGTGCAGCACAAGTAAGTATATTTAGGCAAACTGAAATACCAACAACCGTAAAGAAACTGTAATTAAGTGAAACAACCCATCGCCGTTTATAGATATAACGAAAACATTGCTATTCTTACAGTTGTCGCATGACCCTGACTTACATGCCTGATAACGTCAGTCCCCCACCGCATGTTGCAGATGAGATTTCAACTGGTAGTCGTCAAAGTTAAGATTTAAGAATAAGGCCCCTGGCTTTTGGTCAACAATTAAGAATATTAATTATCAGAGGGGGTTTTGTGGAGATTTAGTATTTTTCATAGTTTTAAAGCATGAGTCAATTGAAGCTAGACCACCATGGAAAACCTGGAAACACTGGACGGCCGTTTCGTCCTATTATGGGACTCCTCAGCAGTGCGCATCTACGAACCCGCTCGCGCGAGATTCGAACCCAGGACCTACCAGTTTCGAGCCGAAGCCCTTAACCGATAGACCACTGAGCTGGCATCCAACGGTGTTAATGTCTAACTTCAACTGATCCACGAAGTTGAGCAACCATTCACCAATTGTCTTCAGTGAGTTCCTATCTCACAACAGACGTGGTTTTGAACTCCACTGGTCACTGCTTCTCACTAGAGCTCCTAGTTATACTTCTCGAAGTCACTGGTGAGCATATGATTATATTAATTATCAGAGGGGGTTTTAATAATAATAATAATATATTTCTGCATTAGCAGGTACACGCCATTTTTACAGGCATGATCTACAATTTACAACATATACTGGTTCACAGTATGCATCCCAAGCAAGCTTGTTTAGTAATTATAATCTATAAAAGTTGATAGCAGTTCATTCGTTCACATATAATGTGTTTTCATAAGAATAGTTTCCAAAGGGGCATAGCGTCCACGTTATATACCAGATCCAATCTCGACAAAAAGTGTAATAGGGTTTCGGTAGTTCTAAGTATTTATGTAATGCAGCTTTTTAAGTTTATAGTTGTTATAAAGTAGGCTTGTTGAGCGCCTGGTTTGAGCTATGACCTTGGGAAAGCGCGTTCGTCAAGCTTTTTCCAGATGTCAGAAGTTACATAGCTTCACCCTCAGAGCAAGATTCTGAAGAGAAAAAATAAAAGAGAAACCGAGGAGCAGCAAGGCATTTGGATATGAGCGATAATCAATGCTTAACATTTATTAGTGGAACAGATGGAGGTATGATAAATTATTAGAATAAATTGATACTAGCTCATGTTGCAAGAGTAAACTGCGATTAGGGTCTCCAGAAGAGAGAAGGCAGTAATAAAGAACAATGAGTTGTTATATTTATCAAGGTGGAGTAGGTTCCAATGAAGGAGGGAAGTCAAGGTTGGAATGAGGAAGAACAGAGAGTGCATATAGAGAGTAGTGTTAAGTAAAATAGAAACCATATCCTTTACAGTCAGTTTTTTTTCTTTTCTCATCCGATGCCTGCCACACAGTGTTCATGTAAAAGTCCGAGTTAGCATGTTAAAGGTTGTCTTAGTAGAATAGTTAATCCAGCACAAAAATTGGAAACATGAGTCTTAATGGTGAGTGTAGGTGAACAATCTCAATATCACAGATCTATTGACTTGTTCTCATCCATAAAGAGCCTGATACAAACAAAATGTTCTGCCCCACAAACACGGGTGGATTGAAATCATCACCCACACCATCAGTGCTTGCTGGTCAGTAACTCCACCCTCCCTCCTTTTGTGATGTTAGGCTCATTTACGATTATTTTTTGGATACATATCATACCTCACACAATGCTCTGTGTTTCACATCCTGTTGGAAAACACTATTTCTATAAGTACCATGTTACAAACTTATCAGACAGTTACAAATTATGGACTGTGGGTAAGGCTTCGATGCTATGTTTTTATTGACTATATAGTGAAGTGTAGGTTACGAATCAGAGTATAGGCATTAGGAAGGGTATAGTGTAGAATATTTCTTTGTGGAGATTTAGTGTTTTTCATAGTTTTAAAGCATGAGTCAATTGAAGCTAGACCACCATGGAAAACCTGGAAACACTGGACGGCCGTTTCGTCCTATTATGGGACTCCTCAGCAGTGCGCATCCACGAACCCGCTCGCGCGAGATTCGAACCCAGGACTTACCAGTTTCGAGCCGAAGCCCTTAACCGATAGACCACTGAGCTGGCATCCAACGGTGTTAATGTCTAACTATTAAGAATAATAATACTTTAATCTAGTGGAATAATACCTCTGGGATTTGGTTACGTCTCTCCGACCCCCAAATTTTAAGCGCAGCATACATGGTAGGAAGACTAGGTTTCAAAATTGCAACAACACTATCATCATCCTCACGATATTATATTTTCTAATAATCCATAATTATCCGGTGAGTCCTGCAAAGGGTTATTCGAGACGCCAATCTGGATGAAGTATGATATTTATGCAAAGATAAATATTTTTGATATCGAGACATCACATAGGTCGATCATATCCTGTCTTTTTTGACCAGTATGTCAAGACTGATATAGCTGCACAGGGCTGCATTCGCAGGCCACTTTTCTATTCATTCATTGTTAGTGATTTTCAAGCACCCATTCTGTCTTGTCTTTATTTGGCCAACGATGAAGTGATATATGGATATAGCTAACATTTACTAGTTCGTGTATATGGTCTGCGACAAGGTAACTAGCTATGTGCTTCCATTAAATGATAATGAATGTTAAGTACTGCTCGCTTGAAATAATAGTACACATGCTTGAACTTACTGAATAACTTCAATATGGCAATTAATAGATTGGAAAGATGCTGGGGTTTTATTGTATATAATACATTTAATTTCTGTTTATGATGAGGCATATCGGGTAGTTAGGGACATACTGGTCAAGAACTTGTGTTTTGGGCTAGTGATAATCTTATTTCCATATAACTCGAAACTGTTTTCAGTAAGAGGAAAACCCATATTTCCCAAAAGCTTTAGCTTTCACATATGCTAACCTCAAGAAACGCACTTCTCTCTTTAAGTTAGTCCAGAGGACACTAATGAGGTAGTTAAACTAAGAAACTAATCCCGTGTAGCTGTAAATAATTCCCCAAAATCAATAGCTCTGTAAGTGTTCGAAATTGGATGCTGACCACATTAGTTTTAGTAGACTTGTTTAGCTGAAGGCTCTCGGTCATACATCCATACCAGATCACGTTACAGCCATTAGCCAGAGTAGATCAGTCATTTCTCGATAAATTGGTTACCCTTCAAATATATCCCCCAACCTCTTCACTTCTGACTTCTGATTTTAACTGGGTGGGCGCGATTCGATCATAGAAGGTGTTACTTGTAAAGAGTTGTCAAACTACAATACTGGTGGTATCTTCACCCAATTCAATGACTGAAAGCACTGAGATTGCGCCGTGTCAATGATCAGAGTTAAAAAGGACTCGGCGACAGTCTCTAACATAGATTGCTGTATCTGATATTCTTCAACCACAAACTATTGTTCAAAACAGCACTTAAAAAAAGAGTATCTAAGGTCAGAATACAGAAAGTTGGCTCAAAAATCTATTCAAATGTGACAAAATTATGTAGATAGTTTAACGTTTTATGAGAACGGATGAAAATGTGTCAATACTAATTCAGTGGGAAACTGTAAATGCTTTGAAGTATGTGTAGTTTGACCTTCACCAAGGTGCCTCTTCACTGGTCAGTTTTAACTGGGTTCTTGAAGAACTGGTACATGAATTTGTGTGAAATAATTACAAGAATAGACCATAATTATTATATCCAGGACATGTTTTGTTGAACTCTATGTATGCAGCAATTTACATTTTTCCAGGGGTTTTGTTTGTATCCTTACATTCTGCTAGCGCTCTAGTCAGTCTTGACCTCCATTTGTCATGAATGCGTCGGACTTGTCGATTATAGGATGTCGCGTCAGTATAATATCTAAGGCTAAGATAAGATATGAGGGAAACCTTCACTCCATAGATTTTGACACGCCCAATGAACCGGTTATTACTCTTTCAAAAGGTACTTAGTGTTCTTTCTCACAGTTTCATTATTACAGTTTGGTCTTTCGGCACTGAGGACCGCCCTTGTGAGCGACCAGTTGCTCCGCGGAATGAAGAGTATAATCAGGTGGTGTTTCGTGGACGGGATCTAGACGATGTGCGTGTCGTGCAGTCTTCTGTATTTTTAAACGAAGACTCAGCAATTGTTAGTGCCGCACCTGGGGTATGTACTTTCTAGTTATTTATATGATTAGTCTGCTTTGTCCCACCCTCCTGGACTCCCAGTTAATGAAAGTAGAGGTCGCTTGGGTAGGCTTTGATTTTGTTGCTCTATTTCTTGTAGATCTTAATCCTAGTCGTGTTACGACTGGATGCTCTGAATTGTCTCCCATACCATCATCTCAGTCTGTTTCACTTGATAATCTAAATCAGAATAACTACCCGAACAATTCATACCAGATGCATGCAGTCGGTTGTCGACCAGCTCCTATAGGGACCGTTCATGCTGATACCCCCCAGGTTTCTGATACTCATGGCCCAAGGCCATTTGGAGATATGCGTAGCGACATAGATCCAGGGATTTTCAGCACATCTGGAAGAGGTACAAGTTCTAGAGATATTCAAGAGTCTGGACTAGGTCCTACTAGACATCGTGCTGTCCTAGGATCTGGTGTGAATAACGACTACCCACAACCATGGGTTAACCGAGATCAAGGGGTTAGAAAAGGTGACACTCACAAAAATACACCCAATTATTATCAGGGGCATGATTACTCAAGGGATAGACGCGGAGGATATAGTCAACAATGGTCAACAACCCATCGTGGCTCCAGGGGTTCTGGGCATACTTACGGTGGTTGGGGTGGGCGGTCAACAGGTGGTCATGATTGGTCTAAATTCAGGTCGAATGCATCTACAGTAAATGAGCACACCAACTTTTCGGTGGAATATGACTATGAAAGAGCTAACGCAGAACTTGCAGCTGAGTTGGAAAAAATAACCATCAGTACTGTAAGTGTTGGATATGTTATGATTTCTCTCTCTAGAAAACAGGCTCGTCAGGTGCTTCCGTCGACAACGCGGAGAATGATGGAAGCAGCACAACCGAGGATGAAAACACGTGCTATGATAAGTCCAAGTCGTTTTTCGATACAATTAGTTCCGAGATGATGGACCGCGCAAATGGGTAAGTAATGGTTCATTTTGAGGTTGTGATTGTGCGACGTATAACCTTGTTTCTTTGTATTTTCTAAGTATACTTTTGAAACTACATGTTTCGTCAATTTCTTATGTTTCTTAGAAAGTACTTTGACACTACTATAAACTGCACAAGCGCCAATCCGATAATTGGATTTAGTTTGTATTCACAACCGATTCCACGGTCTTATAGTTTTCTTACACTTTGAGCTTGGTTTCTCGAGGATAGGAAAAATGGCGAAGTTGTGGACTTTTATATGTTTACAACAGACACCAAATATATATTTTACAACCATCGGCACACTATTGAGTTTTAAACATCAGCGTTGGTACTGTTCTAAACTCTCAAGTATATTGAATTCTCACAATACCTTCCCAATGAGCGTATCGTGTTGTCTTATCGATTAAATCAAGAGACAATGACCGCTGATGTCGAAATACCTGATTTCCAACTTTCGGGTTAGAGACTAAAACCTTGCTCTAGTTACTTTAGTTTGTATAATTGGATGTATTTTATCGTTACACAAAGTTGAGTGCATAAATATGTACTTTTTTGTCGAATTACATGAAAATACTTTACGGCGCTAGAAACTACAACTATTATTCAGCTCAGTAGGTAATAATAATAATCTATTACTCCTAGTATTGGGTTCCACTATATAACCCTCACGGGAATCCTTTCGTGAACTATGGACAGAATATGCTAGTAATTAAAACGTTTGTAAATATTGCGGTTCTTATTCAGTCAAGTTGGGAGCTTCGAGGTTCGGTTCACTTAGCACACGAGACTCGGTCAAAAATTTTCCTTTCCAACACTACTGATTGTATTCGTTCACTCGTCAAATAAAATTTCTTATAAGCTAGGTTTCCCAGTCAACTCAGCAGATAGCGCAGCCACAACATTTACTACGTTTACTCTAACGACTAGCTTGATTGGATATGATTAACCTAAAAGGTATGACAATTGTGCCTGGAGTGGATTATTCTAAATTCGTTAGGTTGTTATATTTGATTTTCAAGGTTTATACTCCTGTTTATCACTGGAGCGTTATTGTCTTGTCTACACTTTTAATGTGAAGCTTATTACAGTTACAAATTCATATACCGGTTATGGTAAGCTCGATAGTTTCTGTTTGTTAGTACCTATTAGTCTGTTACTTGGTATTTCTATTTGATTTTCGTCTACTGCTTCTTGCTAATCTAATGAAATCTGTTTTTATTCAGCCTAAATCCTCAAGGAATGAACAGACGGGACGAAAGACTCCTCAATTCAGCAACTTTTGGTACTGTTCCACAGCAGTATCCTAGAAGGACAGGATATCACAATCAACGTTCTTTTGGATATGGCCAAAAGAGAGGGGGCAATTCTTCTAGTGGTAACTTCTGGCGATCTAGTGGTACTGGAACCAATAAGTCCCTATTCTTCAATTCATCACGCGCACCTCTTCCAACATCTGGACGAGCTGGTTGATATGAGCTTTGTACATTTTACTGCAAATAATTACTTCAATACGAAATTCCTTGACACAAAATGATTGACCGATATCCAAACTTATCTCGGTCTTTACAGATGACTTAATAGCTCATGTTTCTATGGGACTAATTTAATTATTTTTGATCGGCAAAATGCATACTGTAAAACCAGTTAGTGCTTCTATTGGTGTAATACTGTTCGGAATAGAACTGTTTACTTTAGTGTTTAAACACGGTTGCGTCTATTGTTTGTTGTAATTGCTTTTCGGTCTGACTGTTGGTTTAGTTCGAGCAGTTTACATTTTTTGAAATATAATCATGTAAATACCTGTTTTGCAAATATATTTGAAATAATAACTAATTTAGTGGTCATTGCTCATACACGTCCGTGCTATCATTAAGTTTAATTTTTTGCGAAATATCTAGGTATTTTGTTCACTATTTGTAGACATGAACTAGTAGAAAGTGGACCGGGCTATTCAAGAGTTGAGTCGGTTATTCTGTCTTTTAGTCTGTATTTTATCAACCTGTAACAGATGACTGTTGGTGCGAAAAACGTTTTTTTTATGAAAAAGATAGTACTAGGTTTCAATGGTCCTTTTCTAGACAAACTAAAGCAACAATGCAAATCTAGTTGTAATTGTAAACGTAGTTATAAACTGGGTATTAGATTACAGGTTTCTGCCAGCGTTCTTTTGGTTGAAAATTGAGCGTATGGTCTTTACATTTGGGGCTTTTCTACCGAACAGCTGGCTCTGGTTGACATAAAATAAGTTTTCTGTTGGTTAATGTACTGAACTGTTAAAATCATTAATCCATGTCGTATGAATAAGTGAGTGAAAACTTGCTTGCTCATGACCAATATTCTGGTATTTTATACGCCAGGAAATTTTCACTACATAGAAAATATGAGTGGAATTCGAACATTCCTGATACTAAGTAATTGGGAAACGTTGCTTAAGTAAAGAAATCGGATGTTCACTTCTAAATTAACCCAGTAATCTATTATCGCTCTTTCACTTATATTTACTGTGTAACAGGTAATGGAGTACGGAGATTAGGGAGAATAAGAAAACTAGTTTTTTCTCATCCAGAATTCGAAGTCGTTAGCGCTATATCATGAGGGGTATCCTATCATTTTTCCCTTTATTATTTTGTACCAATGCCAGTCTCATTCAGATGATACAGTGACTAATTTTTAGGATAGGTAGTTGTAAACCCGAGACATTAAATTCGAAAGAGAATATCCTCGTAAGCTTTCCACCGGTTTGTGGGTAGGTATGCATGTCAGTGGTTTAAATAACACTATTTGGAGATTGACGTATTATTAGCGTGAATTAACGAATCTTGGCACGATATAAATGACAAAAGACTGATGACTATGAAAGTTTACCGTTCAAATATCTTGTTCGTGTTTCAAGTCACAACTATACTTTCGATAGGGATGGATTGTTATCTTCAATGTAAGTAATATTTATTACGTTTTCGTTTCTTTCGCGGCTTGTCATACTACTTCCCTATCGGAATAATGAGGTATGTTGCAAGGAATCCAAGTGTTGGGAAGGAACGTCAGTTTAATTTAAAATAGAGACCCAGTTTTGAAGAGAATTACCTTTGTTGTCCCCCAAATGGTATGGCCGAAAGTGGGGGCAGTCCGCTCTCCCTCTCCAAATGCTCTCACATGACTACGCGTATATAGCCTCTGACAGGGAATTCATACTCACTACCTTTTCGTGGCGGGGGTGTTGTATACGAAAGTGGGAGGACGAAAAGTGAATTTCCGGCGCTTTAACCGGGTTGGTGGACACGGAAAGTCCACCTAGGGCAGTTGGAAAACCCTGATTCCAAACCAATGGTGCACATGGCCTCCAGTATCCTGAGGGCACAAATGGCGTATGACTCAATCGTTGGTCGCCGACTACCATGGGACTGCATTTCCTCACGATGCTCCACTGCCTTGTGGGTCAGACCTTTAGGTCAAAGGCTCCGTGTGTGGCCCCGTAAGAAAACTACCTACTTCATTTTGGGCTCCTGGGCAGTATCACAGCCCTCACACAAATCGAATGAGATTTGTGAGGCGCATATGTATCTGGTGCTTCCTTACACCAAAATTTATGTTTAAATAAATAAATAAAATGTCTTGAATAGGACTGGTATAACAATATCATAAGTATGAAGATCAAATATGTAGGACACGAAGAACCAGTCAGTGATATAGAAATACCGAATTTAACTGTTTGAGGCCATAAAAAATTACACAGCGAACAAATGGTTACGTAATAATCTTTTGGATGGGGATTTCTGTATTCAACACAGAGATCATCCACAACAACGGTTAATCAATCCTACATAGGTGTGACATTTAATAGTCTGAAAAACAGTTTTGTTTTAAAGTGAAGCACATTAGTCGAACGATTTATGTAATTGTAATTACACTCGACATTCAAGATTGACTAAATAGATCGTCATTGTGTAAATGTAGCTTCTTTTGAGAGGTAATGGTTCATTGTTGAACATCACGACATGTGCATCTAGTTTGCTGAGCGAGGTTAGACGTGCTTATTCAGTAATTACAAATATACAGATTACTGATTCAATCGAAATTCCCTACTCGGATCAAACTGTGATTGAATGCTTATACTTAAAGTGAATAGATTATTCTGTCCCTGTTCCCAACTGTTGGTTGAAATCGTGTATCATGTGGCAAATAGTTTGGTGTATTATTAGTATCAGAGGGGGTTTTGTGGAGAATTTAGTATTTTCACAGTTGAAATGATGAGTCAATTGAAGCTAGACCACCATCGAAAACCTGGAAGCACTGCCTTAAGGCCGTTTCGTTCTATTATGGGATTCCTCAGCAGTGCGCATCCACGATCCCGCACTCGCGAGATTCGAACCCAGGACCTACCAGTCTCGAGCCGAAGCCCTTAACCGATAGACCCGTGAGCTGGGCGGTATCCAACGGTGTTAATGTCTAACTTCAACCAATCCATGAAGTTTGAGCAACCGTTCACTAATTGTCTTCAGTGAGATGATATCTCTACAACAGACCTGGTAGAACTCCACTGACCACTGCTTCAAGAGATATTTCCTTGAGTTCTAGTGGGAATACCGCCCAGCTCACGGGTCTATCGGTTGAGGGCTTCGGCTCGAGACTGGTAGGTCCTGGGTTCGAATCTCGCGAGTGCGGGATCGTGGATGCGCACTGCTGAGGAATCCCATAATAGAACGAAACGGCCTTAAAGCAGTGCTTCCAGGTTTTCGATGGTGGTCTAGCTTCAATTGACTCATCATTTCAACTGTGAAAATATTATTAGTATCATAATCTAAACTGTCCAACCTATTATGTTATTTGTCAAGCACTACTAATTTGTTATGAAGTACGCAAAAGCAAATGTTTTTATCAACGCAGTGTCTGGTTGATGTCTATTTGCGTTATTGGTTTCATAAAGTGAGGTTGATGTTTATAATAAAAATAATGAATGTGAGCAGAGGATTTATACTTATGTGGTACTACTAATAATTAGGCCGACAGTTTAGCAGGCACTAGAGTAACAGTAAAAAGTTTGTAGTTTCATAGTCAATACTGATTGATAAAAGCCTAAATGTCCATTTTCTTTCATTAATATTGGCCTGATATTGTTTTTAAAAAAATCAATAATATGGACTTATAGGAAATTAGAGTGACTTGATGTGTACAGATAAGTAAATTTGAACAGTTCAGGCTTCAGATGATGGCTTAAATTAAAAAGAATGAACTTAGATTTATACATACTTGTCATAGTGTCTCGTAAACATAATATATGTTCGTGTGTTATGATACCATCCTTTATCGAAGTAATATTTTATGTATCGTCAAGTGACTAAGTTTATCAATGATTTCCATACGATTAGATTCACATTTTGTGGATGAGCAACAAGATCTAGAGGTTCTAAATTAAATTATTGAAATACTCAGTAAACGTATTCTCATTGAAACTGTCTTTGCAGAAATCATGAATTTAAAACTGTTAATCACAATGAACTAGGAAGTTTCAATGAATAAACATAAAATACAAAATCTTCCAGTGGAAGGTTTCTCCTATTTTATTCCTTGAAAGTACAACTACAATAAGTCTCCTGAACATTAAACGATTTTTAAATGCTTTCGACCCATCATTTATCAAGCGATTTGTAATCAAGAACCGAACTAATTTTGTGCGAAAGTATATTAGCATTAGTAAATTAGTCGAAGCCCAATGAATTATCTGACGACAAATAAACATACAATCTTAAGGAACTTGTTAGTAGTATATGGTGTGGGTCAGACAGAATGTATTTTCGCAGAAGACCGATGAGTAAAGAACTGAAATGAAGCGCAATCGTTTGGAAAATGCATGAGCAATGGAATTAGAGAAGAAACAGTGAAGATTGGAACAATTGGCTGTTAATTTGCAAATTGACTGTTCATTGTTTGGTTATCAGAATTTACTGAGATAGTCTGTAATGTTTGCTTAAATACATTCGATTGTCCCCAACCAGTGTTTTGTTCACTTCAGTACGACTTCATTTTGTATGACATATAAATCAATGTCTGAAAATAACAATACATAGAACCTTACTATCCTAAGATCGATATTAGACAATTTTTGGCATTATTAAATTTATGATTTAATAATGATAATAATCAAAGTTAATAAATATAGATTCAAATTTCTAAACCATTAAATTCTACTGAGTAGTCTCATTCAAATAATAATGACAATCGCATTATCTTCGAAACCTATTAGTTTACATACTATCCTGATAAGTCTATCTGGTTCATAATACTGTAGTGCCGTGCTTCGCTAGTCATTCACCGTGATAACTGTTATACTACAAATCTTAACGGTGCATAAAATCAAACGGCAAAGAGAATCAGCAGTTACAGTTTTATTGACAAATGAAGCAGGCCAGAAATCTATAAGCACATGAGCAAATATCAGCGATCGAAGCATAAACGGCGGGTAAGCCAACTCG